CTCCCCCCCCCCCCCCCCCCCGGATGGGGCTCGCTAGTCAGTGGTCGTTGAGTCTCGTTGGGGTTGGGCGTGTGCGTCCTGCCACCCCAGGCAAGTTGTGATTTTTGCAGGGGACTGTGTCGTTTGGACTTGAATATAAAGAAGTGCTGCTCCATGAGCTGTTTAAGAATTTCTCTTTTAAAAAAACATGCTGAATTGCTGGTCCTAACTCAAATCATCATAGTTTGAAACCAGTCTGGATTCCCAGGGTTGTTGAATGTTAAAGTAAAAAAGATCCGAGGGTTTGAGGGTCACTTTTTTTACACTGCCTCAAGCTTTGAAAATTTAAGAATTTCTTTTTTGTCTGAAGGGGTGGGTTAGATACTATCCTTGCTCTACTTGGGGCTTTTTTATGTAAGCGCCTCCCGCCCTCCCCTTCTCCCCCCAAGTTAAGCAATTAGCATGAACAGCAATTATGTATGGATACATTTAAATAAAGTAGTATTGTCCAATCCTTGTATCACCTGAAGGTGAGCGATATGGCTTAGCAATTAATCTAATATGAGAAGTCTCTTCTTCCTCAAACCGAAGAGACTGGAAGATCTGACTTCCTCTTCATCCCCTATGGCCTTGAGCTTTCAGTTATATTTTGGTGGTGGAATTGGTTTCTTTATCATCTGTGTTGTAAATTTTAAAAGTATTTTTTAAACTTTTATTTTGATACTAGTGATGTTAACTATTGGGTATTTGTGTAAATATATAACCACTGGAAATGTTAGTGGTTACATGTTTACACATGGGGGAAGTGTCGGGACATTACCTCTGATAAAAAGGCAGCAGCATGGAGCAGGCAGCTTCATGGATCTAGAGCTTGAAAGCCAGTTCCCACCTCCCTCCCCAGCAAGGGGGAGAATTGTGTGTAGTTAATAGGATTAACCAGTAAACCCAGGTTTATCAGTTAATCATGTAATCAACTACACATTCCTATTTGAATCTTTAATCTGTTGATTTTCCAGAATAAGGGAATGCACCAATTAATTTTCCGTAGTTGAGATTTTGAAAACCCCTCTTTAAAGTTTTATGCTGAAGATGAACTATTCTTGACACTTCAAAACTGTGGGACTGAGTAAAGTGCTTGGTGTTTCCTTTTAAATGTTTTACTCTTTGTGGGAATGGTGTGGATGAAGGTGTTTGTGGAGAAATTATATAAATATATGTACCTGGACCAAATATGACTATCAATTGTGTTTTGTATGTATTTATTTAGTGTATTTGTCTTTATATAGTATTTCTGGGTGTTCTTTTATTTTTTATCGTGTCCTTTCTGGTAGTTTCCTTTCAGAAGTTATAGTTTTAGGCATGAACTTGTCTATACTTTAGTTTTCTGTTTACTTTTGACTTTTCCTGCATTGATTTCTCTTATTCCTATTATGCTTGTTTTGGTCACTTCTATTTGAAGAATTTTAACTATAGCTTCTGCCATGGCAGTACTGTTTCAATCAGTTGTGGATGCATATCAAGTGTAGAGAAGATATCATCAGTAATAGAACTTTTCCATAGTGCAAATTCTGAGTTTCTGTTGGGAAGAGAACATGTAGTCCTGTGGCACCTTAGAGACTAACAGATATATATGTTATCATATCATGAGCTTTCATGGGAAAAACCCACTTCTTCAGATGAGATAAAGAAGTGGGTTTTGCCCATGAAAGTTCATGATATAATATGATTATGATATATATCTTTATATCTGTTAGTCTCTAAGGTGCCACAGGACTACTCGTATTTAAATTTAGAGACTAACATGTCTACCTTTCTGAGACTGTTGGAAAGAGGCACATTTCCCTCTTCCAACTAGGAATGTACCCAAATAGTCACTTCCCACCCCTCTGCTTCTATCAGAAAGAGGAAGCAAAAGCAGAGATATAAAGGGGTGCTGGAGGGAGCCAGCTTACAAACAGGTTTCCCAGAGGTGCAGCAGCAGCATTCAACCTTTGAAATGTAAGAGAGTCTCCGGTAGGGCTCTTGTACATTTCGAAGTGGAAGCACCACATGGAGCTGGAGGCCAGCAGGGGACTCAGAGTCCCCTGATGGCCCCGGCTCCATACATTTAAAAGCGTAAATGCAACATGGAGCTCAGCTGGCTCCAGACTCCAGCAGTGCTTCCCCTTTGAAATGTACAAGAGTCCCAGCAGGGACTCTCATACCTTTCAAAGGTGGAATGCTGCTGCTGTGTCCCTGGACATGTGGGAAACCGGCTTGTAAGCCGGCTCCCTCCAGCACTCCTTTATATCTCTGCTCTTGCTACCTCTTTCTGATAGAAGCAGCAAGGGGACTCCAGCAGGGACTCTTGTACATTTCAAAGGCGGGATGCCACCACTGTGCCCTTGGACCTGGGGGAAATCAGCTTGTAAGCTAGCTTCCCCCAGCACCCTTTTCTCTCTCTCAGTGGCCTTGGGCTCCACATGGCATTTCAATCTTTGAAATGCAGCAACAGCTGGGCAGACTTGTGCTACATTTCAAAGCAGAAGGGCCCTTATAAACTAATTGAATAGTAAATGGAAATTCCATTGGCTGTTTGATTAGTTGATTAATCTAATTACAACATCCCGCCTTCCAACCAGCTTCTTACAGTCACTTTGTTGTCAGTGGCCTTGGGCTCCACATGGCATTTCAATCTTTGAAATGCAGCAACAGCTGGGCAGACTTGTGCTACATTTCAAAGCAGAAGGGCCCTTATAAACTAATTGAATAGTAAATGGAAATTCCATTGGCTGTTTGATTAGTTGATTAATCTAATTACAACATCCCGCCTTCCAACCAGCTTCTTACAGTCACTTTGTTGTAGACCCCTATAATCTGTTTTTTGGTTTGTTGATGAGTTTATGAATTGCTTTATAAAGTGCAGTAAAGTAAGTGAAAGAGTCCAAAATCCTTTTTATTGTTCACTACAACTATTGTAAAAGTTGATTCTTTTTTTAAGGTAGTATGCTTTGATTCTAATAATTAATTTAGAGGGAAGCAGTATTCCTTGACAAATAATTAACATCAAGAACTTAGAAGAAAACTGAAGATTCTGACACGACCAAGGTATGTTAATATTGACTTTCCAAGTAGAAATGCTAAGGCAATTGTGGTAGTGTAGCTGTGAAGTGGATGTATGTTACATCAGTTTACATCTACTACAGCAGTTACTGCAGTTTTTCATGGTCAAACTACCTTCCTCCTGTTTGGGGTCCGCATCCACTCCAGGAACACTTGCAGTCGTTTAAGAGAGGTAGTGGGAAAGATTTGGGTTGAGAGTCCAGGCACTCAGCTCCCTGTGGGATACCCAACCCAGCTGGAGTTCTGCTGCTTCTTGGGGGCTTTCCCAGTAGCACCTAGGCTCTCTGTGAGGAGACCATAACTTGGGCTCTTGATGCTGGGAGCATTGCTGTGGCTCTCAATCTGGAACACCTCCTCCTTCTATATTTGATAGCAGAGACATTGACATTCTTATCAGTTTCACAGTTCCAACTGACAACCAACTGGAAATGGAAGTACAGGCAGTCCCCGGGTTACGTACAAGATAGGGACGGTAGGTTTGTTCTTAAGTTGAATCTGTATGTAAGTCGGAACTGGCGTCCAGATTCAGCCGCTGCTGACTTGGGGACACCTGGGGCAGAGCAGCTAGGGTGCTGCTGGGTTGGTCCAGTGGCGCCCAGAGCGGCGCTACGGGACCAAT